TTCGCCTATAGGTGGGTCAACTTGTCAACCTAATTCGTTAACGTTAAATAAAGAATATGTAAGATCAGGATAAAATCATTTCGAAGTTTTTGTAAATTTAATTGTTTTGTTTAATATTTGTATTATCTTTCCATGTCATGTTTGCCTATAAGAGGCCGTTCAAGCATTACGGAAGCGCTATTGGGTGAAGGGGGGTCAGTGGTTTTCTTATTTGGTGATTACGTCAACAGTAATTATTTACTGTTTTACACATATTACCCACACGTTGTTTAGGCTTGAAAACGAAATGCCTTTTCGAGGATTCCTACAAAAATTTAATACATTTATGTACTATTATTTTGAGCTGCTTACTTTTGTTGACAAGAGGAAGGAGGGGGGATAAATTGCAGTAAATCTGCTTACGTAACACTTGAACGGCCCCTTATTGTTATAGGCAATCCTGTATTATGGGTGACCAAACTCTTCCGAGGCAAAAAAAATCGCTGCATCACTCAACAAATACAAATATTCGTATTCACCGAATAGGTACATATTTCCCGAAGCTGAAAAAACTGACCCAAAAGTATTTTACAATAAAGCTTTCTTCTGTTAAAGATTATCTCGCTGGAATGAACAAACAGAAAAAAGAGATCGCCTAATGCCTAACAAATGTGCTTTTTCAACAAACATTTGTCAGTAATTTTCAATTATTAAATATGTTTCAAAATATAGTGTGTATTATTTATTGCCTTTAAGAATAATTCGTACTCGTTGAATCCGTGCAAAAAGTACATATTTAAAATATACATACAATGGAGCTTTCAATCTTGGGTGCGTATAATACCTTCGTTCTTCATAATATATGTCAAATATAGCTTGAAATAATTAGAATCGTAAACAATATCGCACACTTGAAGCCAATATGAGCCCATTAGTTTTTCCCACACTCATAAATTGTAATTTAACATTTTCCAATAAGTAATAACACACTAATTCCTCATAAGGCCGGCAACGCAGCCACTATAAAAGGGTGTCAATGGGCTGCGATGACTGCTCTTTTTGGGTGTAGTAGGCTCGTTTGGCCTCCTATTATATAAAAAAAAACATAAGTGTCACTTACATTTACGAACTCTTCAATAATAAGAGTCTGTTTCACAATGTACGGATAAGTTCTACATAAGTTCCAAATTAGCTATTTATTACTTATTGGTAGGATAAACACTATTGTTTCGTTTCACGACTGTCAGATAGCGCTATTCGTCACATAAAGTCTGTCATAAGTTATGAGTCCGATGAAGTGTCAAATAGCACAATTTATCATCCAAATAATTTATGTGTTGCATAGCTATTTGGTACTTTATCCATACATTGTGAAACAGACCCTAAGTCAAGTTAGTTTTGTTTAATCTAGCGTCGCAACGCACTACCCCTAATGTTATCTTAGTTATACGCTCATGTTCAAACAAAGTGTTTCAATTAACATAATATAGCTAAACATATCATACACCGAACTTAACTCGTGCATCAAACGATTTTTGGGACGTGTTTCTCATTATGGTTCCTAAAATATCTAAGTATACGATTATGTACGTCAAACTGTATATCAAAACGCAATTAAAAAGCCTGCATTTGATTGGATATGGTGTCTGTCTTTTCAATTACCACACTATTTAACGACTATTTTAATTGAAGTTTGAATGGCGTATAATGTAAGGCGAAAGCCATGCTAGGTTATTTCTATATATATTATATGGTAAGTATAAAGACATAATATACGACCTTTTGATGTCAAAATAACATAAATTCAGTTGGAATGTTCCTCTGTTATGTTAAACGCTGCAAAGATAAATGATTTCATTTTTTTTTTAATAAACTTTGTTCATCTATACGCTCGCTTAAGATATATTTTACACGACGTTTGTTAAATTATATGAAACTAAACGGCGGAGCATTTTCAGTATCTACTTTATTAAAAAAAAAAAAATTGCAAATGATAGATTTATACAGATTTTGTAGAATAACGATCCAAATCGGTCACTTTAGTTATTAGTACCTAGGTAGTTCGTTAAAAAAACTTGTGTGGTCTAATTCTATTCTCTATAAAAGTTTGATATTAAAACTACAATTTTATTTGCATAAAAAGTATTTAAATATTAGATCAATAAAACCTACCCCTTAATATCATTCTGATGAATAAAGTCAGTCTATGTTTTTATAATAAGATGTCCTTCGTCCTTTGTTTTGACAGGGACTGGCCATCGACCTGAAAAGGATCCGCATTTCGCATTGTTTGTTTATTTACGAAGCTGGTAAAATGTATAGTGATAAGTGACGCGAGAATAACAAGGATGGAGCCACAAAATATGTACCACTAACATGAAGTTGTCCGTGAATCAATATTACCAACCAATCGTATCTAATCGTTGTGCGTTTGCTCCGTAGCCCGTTCACACTTCACGATTCATCAGGCGGCAAACAACCCACTTCATTGATCATTCATTCATTGCTTCATATACATTGCGAACCGCAGGTCGTGCCTTCCCACATTTTGCTTTCGCTAAGCTCCAAGTGCACCACGTCATTTAAACGAAGTATAGCAAACAAAAGCAGCGAGACGTATTATTAAACTGTAGATCTCATTAAAACTAACCTAACGATCGTAAATTATTTTTTTACAATGAGCAAAATACGCTCCGGTGTTAAGTAACTGCGTGTGAACTGTGGTGACTGGTGGTCTCATATTTTGTGAATTGTCATTTCATAGCATCAGTGTTGTCGACGGCACAAAACTGTATAATTACTGTGTTATAAAACCTGTGAGATGTTGGGGAAGAATATTAGTTGATAAATTGGACTTTTACGACTCATTGGACTTATTGCGAATGTGTATTGAAACGTTTATCGCTATCCACGGGCGCACTGCTATGCGCCACGATTTGGTCCACTTTATAAGGCATACATCTTCAGATCACTATTGCGAAGGAGCCCTTTAGTTGCTGGAACTGGTAAGAAATTCCTACTGTATTTATATAAAAGTAACAATATATCTAACAATACCGTCGGTACACCTACCAAGGAGTCCTAAATAAATACGCAAGCTGCCACTAATAAGTTAACACCGAGTCAGTAACAACTCTAGTAATTTCCATATACATATGTACCTATATCCCTTTAATCGATGCATTGTAGTATTACAATCTGGCTAGGAGCCTGGAATGCATATATAAATCTATAAGCCATCGAGTACAGTGGAAAATAACGTGAACACTACACTTCCATTGGATACAACATGACATTTCCATTTCGCATTATCTAACTTCTTCCAAAAGTCATTTGAGTCAAATTATTTCAGAATAAAATTACAAAATATTAATTAAACGTGTTCCTAAATGTTATTATTGTGCCAGTTGCAACCGGTTTTGAACACGAGGCCACCACAAAACCAATGGATAGAAAGCGACATAACGCTGCTTACAAGCGCTTGACTCTGGGGTTATCATATTTAGTCTCGGAATACAGTCAATTTGAAACAATGACATTGTAACAAATTATAATACCTATTATTAAACGCAGTCTATTCAAGAAGGTTCTACAATAAAACAGAACAATTGCAAAATGTTATAATAGTCAGAACACCTACCAAGCAAAATATTCATGCACGTTTACTTGCTTAATTTATTATACATTGCATTCGTATTTATATCCGTGTTGTTTACCAAAGAGAGTGAGTGAGACTCATGAATTGTAGATAGCAATTGTGATGTAAAATGAACTTAGTTGTTTTCACATTACGGCTTTATATAACATTTCGATCTTTGACTGTGGACCTCACTAAAGGAAAAAATATTAATTTAGGTAAATTAATAAACGGAATCTTGAATATAATAGAACAATAGTTAAATATAATATCATCATTTGTAAAAGCTATAAACAAGTGAATGATATACACAGATAATGACACTTGCAAAAAGAGGTGTGTTTTAACAAGATACGTTCTGTAACACACCCACTTTAGGGTATCGACTGTTTCGGAGTTTTGTTTAATAAATGACGTAAAACAGATGACTATAGATGACAGATGACTATATTAATGTTAGCAAGGATAATTAAGTCCAATTCTCAGAAGTTTCTCGCCATCCCCAATTTTACCTTCCCGTACATTGAAGTCCTAATTTTCGGTATTTTATAGTGGTAAAAGATTATTTTTATTGCCTGGGTCTCTCTGATTTCTGTTCTTATTAAAAAAAAATTGACTGGGGTTAGGCCGTGTCGGATACGCCGTCGATTTAGACATGACACACATATAATTTAGTTAAGTGCGTTTTACAAACAAAAACGCACTCACATAAACTCACAAAATAACAATAATCAAAGAAAAAAAATTCAATTAAAAATATAATGAGATATATAAAAACAAAAAAAAATTTTTTTTTCCTTTTCCCATTCGGTTCGTTTCAAGCGTGTAATGAGTGTGTGCTGTGGCTGTAATTGGCCCTGGCTCAGCATTATGCTGAGGAGCAGAATGTTCCACAGCGCTGGTAATTCTGCCAGAGACCACATCAGCTAGTTTGCGCCTCAGTCGACTTCATAGACGTGCTAGTGTTATGAGCTAATATTAATAGCACACATGGACACGTCCATTCAGGGTTAGTCGCCTAGCCACTGTAACACTGCTCAGTAACATTTTAAAAGCCGAAAAATATAGTTTTTGCTTAAATATAATTAGTCCGTCATCTGTTATTTGGCTGACATATTTTGCCTGTAGGTGCGGTAATTTTGTTGACCGCAATATTTTTCTTCGAAATCATTACGAGTTTATACTTTCTTCAACTTTACATTTGGATTATTATTATTTGTTTATGCGATGTTATAAGAAACAGTGTCTGGTTTTGCTAGGTCTAAGGGTCTCCAAGAAATTAAAGATCAATACAGTTTATATCATTCGAATACTACTTTTCAAAATGATAATTTAATAGAATTTTTGTCACTTATTTTAAATCGATTGTTCCAGGTCGCTGTTCATGGCGTTACTCAGTATCAGAGGCGACTGGTACTTATTTTTGTGGATTATATATTGCAAAATCTACTCGGCCATTATAAGGCTGGTTGGCAATCACTGCCACGGCGGTGATAAGGCTCGATCCGTGATAAGCGCCAGCGGCCAGTCGTCAGGAGGCCTCCACAGAGTGCGCACGCGTCGCAGGAAACATCGTGTGAAGCACACAGTTGCACTAGTGAGGAGACCTTCCTTGAGAAAGATAGTGATGGCACCAGGAGCGAGTCCAGTTCAGGCAATGATGGAGGACAAGGAGAAAGCACTGCACTGTGCTCTTGCGAATGGTAAGTGCCAAGTTTATATAGGAAATTTACGTTTTTACTTCAGCTGTCAAATATAGATTGGATTTTAAAATATAGCATTCACAAATTATTTGTAGCGATACTTCCGCGGGGTTTTGGACCGCCTTGACGAGGAGGTCATTGTCAATGAAATGAAATCGACACAACGATAGACCGTAATCTACGAATCATAGATCTTTCAATAGAGTTTTAATTTTAAAGGAATCTGCTACTCACTTTGATTGGTGTTAGCTATCTCTCTCTCTCTGTGTCGGTAGCTCATGTCTGATCGTTGGGGTCAGTAAGGAAACATCTGTCTCCACCGTATTATGTGCAGCGCCTCTCTTATGACAGTGTACAGTTTTGTGGACTATGAGTCTTTCACTTGATCGATCCATCTGGTTGGTAAACGGCCACATGATCTTTTGGCTTCTGTGTGACCACCATCAGTTTTTCCTAGTTCTCGCCTCTGCGCATTGTATGGCCGAAATATGATAAAATTCGTTGGATTGTATTGGCCATATTAAATATTGGGTGCCTATGTTACTAGTTTATGTGGTCTCAATCATCGTATAACTTTTTTTAGAGTTGTTTTGATGACCCTTAGCGATGATGACCCTTTGCTGTCCGTATAATTTTTATGTTGCGAAATATTAATCTTCAAGTATGACAGAACGTCCTTGATATCCGTACCGACCGATTGACTGTATCTTTAAAAGCCGGCAACGCATTCGCGAGCCCTCTGGACACTCAGTCCATGGGCGGTTCTAAAAAAATAAATAAGTATGCTAGTTTATATAGTTCCGATGAAAACTTCAATAACTACTTATTGCCTGTCACACATGTCAACATATTGGCTTTGTACCAGAACGTGTGTAGTGAAATTTTATTCAACGTAAAAAGAACCAAAACAAATTGGAGCAGATAATTTATTTCAAAGTTAAATTTTTTACTCAATTTATCGCCCTTGAATATTAACCTCACAGTTTATTATTATAGAACATTAAGAAATAGTAATTTTGTTAATTCCTGATGCATGCATTGTCTTTTACGTTGATAGAACATTGTTAATGTAATGAATCCTTAACCACAAATAACATTTGCTCATGTTGACGGTGAAAGAAACCTTTATACCAAAATAGTACTTAAAAATCGACCTGCGTCAGAGGATTATCCACTCGAACGAACAATTAATTATGGCAAGATGTAGCAAAAACCTCTTAATAATCAATAAACGCGACTCATATCTGAGGTCGTACGTATCCCCGGCTGTGCACCAATTACTTTCTATGTGTGCATTTAACATTCGCTCGAACGGTGAAGGAAACGTGAGGAAACCGGCTTGCCTTAGACCCAAAAGTCGACGGCGTGTGTCAGCCACAGGAGGCTGATCTTGCCTATTAGATTGACAAATGATCATGAAGCAGATACAGAAGTCTGAGGCCCAGACTTGAAAAGATTGTAGCGCCACTGGTTTTATTTTTAATGTGTTCTAAAAAAAGGACCTTACGGGCTTACAGCGAAGAGGTTACTATTTTGTGTCGTTTGTAGAAATTATCTAGACGCAGTTAAATGAGTAATGGCTACGTAATCTGTATGGCAGATAGCCAGACGTGACCAGAGGTCTTGGGAAATCTACGTTACACGCGGAAAATTCGTGATATTACTGCGGGACTTTCATTTTCCCTTATTATCTGTACTTGATACAATTAACGATCCTTATTATAAAATGATGTAATAAAAATTTTCATCGCGGCATGGAAATATTCTAGTTGAAACTTAGGTTTTAATTCTTAAAAGCTTTAAAAGCTGTAATGACCAACCAATGTAATATGTTTTTCCAATAATAATAATAGTAATAATTAAAGCTCGTTTAATATCCAATTTACAAAAGTGGCATATACAGCTTAACAAATGTAAGTTGTATATACATTTTATAAATTTTTCTTGTTATCTTACGTATATATATCCTATATCCTAGCTACCTTCAGTGCCGGAACCTTCAAGGGTTAAGGTCTCCTCCAGCTTTTTCCAAATATCTCTGTCCATGGCTTACTTTCTTCATTCGCTTCCAGCTGACGCTTCTATGTGTTCTATCCATCTATTTTTTTGGACGCCCTCTTCTCCTTCCCCTTGGTCCTTTACATATACTTGTCTTGAAAGTCCACTACATACAAAGATTCTTGTCTTCTATCCACCTTTCTTTTGGGCGCCCTCTTCTTCATCTTGGTCCTTTCCATATACTTGTCTTGAAAGTCGACGACATACAATGATATATATATACATGCAGATAAATGATTAACAATATCTACCTATTCCTTTATTGTTCTCAAGTCAAAAACAGCCTAAAGGAAGGAAAACACATTGTAATTATGTATTTTGCCACATAATGCAACGTTGTGGGTTTTGTGTGCGTCCATAAATTTATGCTACGTAATAGAAACGTAACAAATTTTGTGTGTACTTTATTTATAATACACTTTTACTTATAAATTTAAAAAAATATAGTCTAAAACACATCCTTACATATTTTAAAATTAATGGCTGCTATCTCTATGAACGCGGTAAACTCAAAAACTCAAAGTTTTCATCGATTGACAGTAGATTCCCGAGGTAGGTATAGGTATGTAGTACGAGGGGGCCGATGGCTGGCCATGCGTCATGCTCGTGAACGGGTGCTACTTGTGGTGACAGGTCGTACTTGAATTCATGTATGCGGTGGTGTTAATTATTTCGACTATGTGTTTGCGTGTTATTATTATTAATTACTTAAGATGTCATATGGAACATGGTGTAATGGTTGCAGCTCCTTACAAAACGTTGTGTAAAAAAAACATGGCGATTAAAAAGAGTGGCGGAGAGTTTATTGCCAGTTCTTCTCTTCCGTTCTACGCCCTTGATTTGAGAACTGGCAGTAAATGTAAAATTAGAAGCATTAATATGTATTTCTTTACTGACGAATCACAAGTGTACATTGAGTTACCTACGTGAATAAATGATTTTTGAATGTTTTACTTTAGATAAATTGATTGCTAAAATTATTATTGTGAATGTTTCTAAATAATCTTGCCAATATTTAAGAAACCTTCCTCCTATCTAAGAGAAAGGTAGAACACAATTGAATGTTGATAGTGTAAATCACATCTTCTGTGGCTCCAGAAGAGCTTTATTGCTAAAGGTAGGCTATTAACAAGGTCCACTCCCGTATGTCCGCAACCACGACTTCTTCCTTCTACCGGCCCGACTCTTGCCTTGAATTTTGCCCTTTATTATAAGCTGCAACAACTCCGTATCGATGATTACACAAGATGTGTCCGAGATATGCGACTTTTCGTATTAGAAACTTAAAATTAACAGTCTTTTAAAAATCTCATAGCCGAACCTATTTTTAATATTAATCCATCTTATATTTTATATTATCGATTAATTGCCAAAAGGACAAGCGGTCTAATTGATTCTAATATTAGCTTAAGTGACAATATCACGAGGCCACAATTGAGTTTGATGAACGATTTCATCAACAAGGCGCAAGCTGACATAACGAAACAAGAATTATGATCTTGTGACGTCGGACCACGCCCACAGCAAACCTGATAGTGTTAATTGTCTTGAGATAGGTGGCTCAAATAAGATAATAAACAAATATGTAATATTTGAGAATGATTTTAATTGGAATTTTCGTAGAAAAATCTTATTTACGAGTGCATTTAAATAAAACATTTTATTACATTATTAAAACTTTCGAAAGCGATTCAAATTCAATTCAATTCAAAATCATTTATTAATTCAGTTCACACAATGTACACTTATAAATGTCAATAAAGAAATACATTTTATATGCTAAATGATTTACTAAATGTGGTTAAAATAAATCAGTGCATCAACCATTTTAGGTCTGGGCCTCAGATGTTTGTATCTGTTTCGTGATCGTTTGTCAATCTAATAGAGTAAGTAGGTGATCAGCCCCCTTTGCCTGACACACGCCGTCGACTTTTTGGGTCAAAGGCAAGCCGGTTACCTCACGATGTTTTCCTTCACCGTTCGAGCGAATGTTCAATGCGCACATAGACAGAAAGTCTATTGGTGCACAGCCGGGGATCGAACCTACGACCTCAGGGCAAGAGTCGCACGTTGAAGCAGTTGACGAAGCTCTTTGACGTTATGATAAGTGTCTGTCTACCTGTTATTTACACCTATAGCCGCGACAGGTATTTGCAATATTCCACTGGAATTTCTTGGTCTTTGTACCTAATTTATCTCACATCTTCGTTTCATAGGCTGTGTTTAGGTAGCTTATCTAATTTGTCTACAGTTATTAAGCAACCTGTTTTCCCATCGTAACTCAAATTTGCAATCTGTTCCGCCGTTATCAGGGCGCGACCGAATCCCCTGTCCCTCGTAAGGCGGGTACGATATGCCATCGAGAACTACGGACAGTATATGCCATTCAATTCTCTCAGAAGATAAACCACTCCTTATATGGAAATTGTATTCGTTTTTACGACAAACTCCCAAGCGAAATAAGAGAATTATTAATAAATAAATTCAAAGCTCTCGTTAAACGTAAATTAATCAATAAAGCTTTTTATAAATTTGACGAATATTTAAATGATCCTAATCCTTGCGATTGATTTGCTCCAGTACAAACAATTTGTATGACTCAAAACTTAGCGATTAAAAACAGTAGCGGAAAGTTTCTTGCCCGCTCTACGCCCTTGACTTGCGAACTGGTAGTAAATGAAAATTTACAATTAATTTAACTTCTTTTCTGACGTTCATAAGTGTACTTGTTTACCCATATGAATAAAGTTATTTTGACGTGACTTGACTACATCAATACCTTATAGGTAGCCTCAAGCGATCCCTTGAGGTCTAGTAGAAAATATTGATTTCAATAATTTTCTTACTGCAAGCTAAATCTGCTTGCAAATTGCATTGTTCTGGTGTTCTAGAATGCGAATGATACCACCCACCTCGTTTGTTTTTGTCATTTAAATGTCACA